ATATATAAAACTCCTTTTATATTCAGAGTCTACAGAAGAAGAAAAGTTTCTTCTATTTTGTCTTAAATACTCTGTTCAACAAAACCTTAATGAACTCTAAGGTTACTTGAGACTAAGCAGCAGCCGTTTCCCACCTCTTCTTTCACGGTGATGCATGCTAACGAGCTGATAGTGTGTGACCACCCTGTGTTTGGATTGCTGCAGGTGTAGCTGTGTTTGCATGGAAAGGTGAATCAGAGGATGACTTCTGGTGGTGCATCGATCGCTGCGTCAACACCGAGGGCTGGCAGGCCAACATGGTATCAGCTGGACATTTTTTAAAAGCATATAAGTCGGCTCTTTATTTTAGATCTTTAATGCTGTGACTGATTTGTGTTTTGTTCCACAGATCTTGGATGATGGTGGAGATCTAACTCACTGGGTGTACAAGAAGTATCCCAGTGTCTTCAAAAAAGTGCGTGGCATCGTAGAGGAGAGTGTCACTGGTGTTCACAGGTGAGCTGGAGCTTTGATTTTAAGAGTTGGAGAAGGAGGATCAAAGATTGTTCATGGCACTTTTGATTCTACTCTGTTTTAGATTGAGATGAATGGTTTTCAAATTAGTGTTTGTGAAGCAACTTCCCAAGAATTTGTGTAGAAGAAAACAAAGCTTTCAATGAACCTGCTGTCAGATGACCGTATGTCAACAGAAACAGTATCTGATGTTTTATTAGTCATGTTAGCGCTGATACATGATGATGAAAAACTTTGGCCTGGTTTGTCTTCAGGCTGTGTGAGAAACAAGACAGCTTCACCCCTGCTTGTTCAACCCAGATGTGGAAAGTCATGCAGGACTTTTCTTGCACATACATAATGTCTGTGTAATCTGTCTTCTCAGATTATACCAGCTGTCWAAGGCTGGTAAGCTGTGTGTCCCTGCGATGAATGTGAACGACTCTGTTACCAAGCAGAAGTTTGACAACCTTTACTGCTGCCGCGAGTCTATCCTGGATGGGTGAGCAGAAAAAATTCTGTTTGGTTATTTATTTCTCTTGATTATTATTTTCTATGTGGATAAATTTGACTGTATTTGATTCGTAAAGACACAAACTGATTGAGATTTTGTGCTCTTCTCTCAGCTTGAAGAGGACCACAGATATAATGTTTGGCGGAAAACAAGTGGTTGTGTGTGGTTATGGAGAGGTGACTCATTTCAAAGTTTTAAAAACTCTTACATTACCTGAAATGACTGGATTTGTTTCTGTTGGAGCTGCAAACCTTTTATATCGCACGATTTTGTAATCTGTAGGTGGGGAAAGGCTGCTGCACAGCTCTTAAAGCCCTTGGAGCGATTGTTTGCATCACAGAGATTGACCCCATCTGTGCCCTGCAGGCGTGGTGAGTCACTACACGTTACTGTTCAGGGCTGCTGCATCACCAAACCTGCTTCACTACATTTCTATCTGTGTTGTGCTTTAATACAAATGTTTGTTTTTTTTATCCATACAGTATGGACGGATTCCGAGTGGTCAAGCTGAGCGAGGTCATTCGGCAGATGGACGTGGTCATTACCTGCACTGGTACTTTACCTGCTTTGCCTCATGCAGCTAAACCCATTATTTCTACTGTAATGATCACAAAGTTTCAGCAGTTAAATAGGCTTTTAGATTAGTTTATTTTTTATTGGATGAAATTAAACATTTCAGTTGACTCATTCTGTTTTAGTTGAGTGAATAAAGAATTCCTTAAAAGTCAGACAGCTAATTCCAAATTAGCTATTAGTGTCAAMTTTGACTGTGTTAGCAAAAAATCTCACAAACTTCTGGATATATTTTAATGAAACCTCTATGACTGATTACCTTTTAAAGTCACAGTTAAGTGACTAACTGAAACAAGAGTGACTATAACTCAGTCCGTTTTACAGATATCGAGCTAACAATTGATGTGGTAGGAGCCGAGAGTCATCACCAGTACATAACTCTGAGAGCTTAAAACATCTTGCAAGATCATGCATGAGATTGAGATAGTGTCATTTACAAGGTTTACCTAAAGCAGGTAAAACTCTGGCATCAATCATGGCATTTCTTAAAGGAATGCCAGATGTTTATTAACATATTTGGTTTGTTAAGCACATTGAATTACCTTTGGGTTTGAGTTGAATTTATGTAGTAAATGATAGTAAAATACTGTACACTGGGTGAGTCAAAAGCCACAGGGCACGTTTTAGGCTATTTCCAGAACATGACTRCCATCCTGAAAGTTTTTCCAAAGATACCCATTACTTACTAACCTGGTTTAAACCAGACCCTGTCCTTCACTTTGCTTCGTACAAGGGTCTGGACTTGCTGCATAGAG